CTACACGTTGTTTTGTAACTGTTTTAGCAATACCTTTGGAATGACGTGCTGCTGTTATGCATGATATATTAGATATGATGCCTGAAAGTATTAAACAAAATAAAGCAAGAACAATTTTACAACATTTAAGTGAAGCATGGCGTTGTTGGAAAGCAAATATTCCATGGAAAGTACCCGGTTTACCTATACCTATTGAAAATATGATATTACGTTATGTTAAAGCTAAAGCTGATTGGTGGACATCAACAGCACATTATAATCGTGAACGTATAAGACGTGGTGCAACAGTTGATAAAACAGTTTGTAAAAAAAATTTAGGTCGTTTAACACGTCTTTTCTTAAAATCTGAACAAGAACGACAACATAATTATCTTAAAGATGGTCCATATATAACAGCTGAAGAAGCTGTAGCTATTTATACAACCGTTGTACATTGGCTTGAATCTCGACGATTTTCACCAATACCATTTCCACCCTTAGCTTATAAACATGATACAAAATTACTTATATTAGCATTAGAACGTTTAAAAGAAGCATATAGTGTTAAATCAAGATTAAATCAATCACAACGTGAAGAATTAGGTTTAATTGAACAAGCCTATGATAATCCACATGAAGCATTATCACGTATTAAACGTCATCTTTTAACACAACGTGCATTTAAAGAATGTGGTATTGAATTTATGGATTTATATAGTCATTTAATACCGGTTTATGATGTTGAACCATTAGAAAAAATAACTGATGCTTATTTAGATCAATATCTATGGTATGAAGCTGATAAACGTCGACTTTTTCCAGCATGGATTAAACCAGCTGATAGTGAACCACCACCATTACTTGTTTATAAATGGTGTCAAGGTGTTAATAATCTTCAAGATATTTGGGATACAAATGAAGGTGAATGTAATGTTATGCTTGAATCACATTTTGAAAAATTATATGAAAAAATTGATTTAACATTATTAAATCGTTTACTTCGTCTTATTGTTGATCATAATATTGCTGATTATATGACAGCAAAAAATAATATTGTTCTGAATTATAAAGATATGAATCATGTTAATTCCTATGGTATCATTCGTGGTTTACAATTTGCATCATTTGTTGTACAATATTATGGTCTTGTTCTTGATTTATTAGTATTAGGTTTACAACGTTCGTCGGATATGGCTGGTTTACCACAAACTCCAAATGATTTTTTAACTTTTCAAGAAGTTGCAGTTGAAACAGCTCATCCAATTCGTCTCTATTGCCGTTATATTGATCGTATACATATATTTTTTCGATTTACAGCTGATGAAGCACGTGATTTAATTCAACGTTATTTAACTGAACATCCAGATCCAAATAATGAAAATATTGTTGGTTATAATAATAAAAAATGTTGGCCACGTGATGCACGTATGCGTTTAATGAAACATGATGTTAATTTAGGTCGTGCTGTATTTTGGGATATTAAAAATCGTTTACCACGTTCCGTAACAACTATATTATGGGAAATGAGTTTTGTTTCTGTTTATTCCAAAGATAATCCAAATTTATTATTTAATATGTGTGGTTTTGAATGTCGTATATTACCAAAAATTCGTATGACACATGAAGAATTTGTACATAAAGATGGTGTTTGGAATTTACAAAATGAAACAACAAAAGAACGTACAGCACAATGTTTCTTACGTGTTGATGATGAATCAATGAATCGTTATCATAATCGTGTACGACAAATTTTAATGGCATCAGGTTCAACAACATTTACCAAAATCGTTAATAAATGGAATACAGCATTAATTGGTTTAATGACATATTTTCGTGAAGCTGTTGTTAATACACAAGAATTATTAGATTTACTTGTTAAATGTGAAAATAAAATTCAAACACGTATTAAAATTGGTTTAAATTCAAAAATGCCTTCTCGATTTCCACC